GCAACATTCTTCTTTCACTAGCCCCTCACCCATTTTTATTTCTTGTCCTAAGAAAGGTACAGTGGTACCTCGGGTTACAGACGCTTCAGGTTACAGACTCCGCTAACCCAGAAATATTACCTTGGGTTAAGAACTTTGCTTCAGGATGAGAACAGAAACCGTGCAGCAGCGGCACAGCGGCAGCAGGAGGCCCCATTAGCTAAAGTGGTGCTTCAGATCAAGAACAGACCTCCAGAACGAATTAAGTTCTTTACCCGAGGTACCACTGTACTGGCATATTCTTACTCTGACAGATGCCCCCAATGTCTCTGAAATGCTACTTGTAGAAAAACATTGTCCTAAGGATGGGTACAATTCAAAAGGGTAGTTCTCCTAAACACTGAATTTTGATATGCTCCCATTCATTCCACAGGGGCTTCTGCAAGAGACAGCCCCTCTGCATTATGCCTTAAAACACTAAGCATGAAGGTACAATAACACAATACTGCAAAACATTCATAGCTGCCTTGTAGATCCATTTAGAACAAGCCTGTGAGGTAAGTTAAGCTGAGAAATGGTGACTGGACCAAGTTCACCCGGTGAGCTTCATGGCTGAGTTGGGATTGGGACGCTGGTTTCCCAGATCGTAATCCAACATTAACCATTGATCCACAAGCCTAGGAAGAGGATCAGACAAAAAACCCACCTACTAGACTCTAGTAGGAGCTAGAGCATCCCGATCTCTCAGCAGCCAACCTCTGGGAAGCTTGCAAACAAGATAGCCCTCTTCCAAGCAACTGGGAGAGAAGGGCACACCCACCTCCAACACAGAAGACTGGAAATACTATATAGCCATTGATAAATTCCACAAATTTTATATACAACATTCAGCTTCACTGAATGGCCCCAGGTTTTACTATTATGTAATAGCAAGAAAAAAGACAAAATATATATCAAAGACACCAAAAAAGAGAAAAATTCCAGTAGCATCTTAGAGACCAACTAAGTTTGTTATTGGTATGAGCTTTTGTGTATGCACACTTCTTCAGATACCTTCAGATACTTCTTCAAGTATCTGAAGAAGTGTGCATGCATATGAAAGCTCATACCAATAACAAACTTAGTTGGTCTCTAAGGTGCTACTTGGAGCAGGAACCGGCAAGCCACTCCAGTATCCCTGCCAAGAAAACTCCATGGACAAAGACAACAGGCATATGAGTGCCTGGCGTGCTCTGGTCCATGGGGTCACGAAGAGTCCGACACGACTAAACAAAAACAAGGTCTACTGGAAGGATTTTTTTTAAATTTTGTTTCGACTATGGCAGACCAACACAGCTACCTACCTGTACCAAAAGAGAGAAGAGCGCAAACCCAAAATCCCGAGAAGCAGCAGCACATACCTAAAGCAAATGCTGAATACAAACAACGTGTAAGAGCCAATCTGATTATAATATATAAGCAACACAAGGTAGCTATTTCAGGAGTGGAATTTGCTGTGGAGATGGAAGTTCAAATCCATGCTCTGCCATGAAGCATACTCTCTCTCTGCTAACCTCTCTCACAGGATTGCTGCAAAGATAAAACAGGATAACGCCCCACCCCAGCACCTCCGTGTACATCAGCCTAGGTTCTTTGGAGCAAGAAGAGATACGAATGCGATGAGGAATCTGATACCAGAACAAGAGCCAAAGGGAAATGAAATCAGTAAGACAACATGAAACACCGGTGCAAGACAAACCCTTGTATATTTTGCTGATGTGCCTGTAGGAGACTTGTTTGAATTGTGTAACTCAACTGTGCAGCCAGTTCAGAAAGAGACCCTGCCCTCCAAAAGATCATAATTTTATAACCTCTATCATGTTCTCCTTCCTTTTTTCTCTATAAAGTTAAAGGGACCCCTGACCATTAGGTCCAGTCGTGGCCGACTCTGGGGTTGCGGCGCTCATCTCGCTTTATTGGCCGAGGGAGCCGGCGTACAGCTTCCAGGTCATGTGGCCAGCATGACTAAGCCGCTTCTGGTGAACCAGAGCAGCACACAGAAACGCTGTTTACCTTCCTGCCGGAGCGGTACCTATTTATCTACTTGCACTTTGACGTGCTTTTGAACTGCTAGGTTAGCAGGAGCAGGGACCAAGCAACGGGAGCTCTCCCCGTTGCGGGGATTCAAACCGCCAACCTTCTGATCAGCAAGTCCTAGGCTCTGTGGTTTAACCCACAGCGCCACCCGTGTCCCTTTTTCTCTCTCTCTATACAAAGACTCAAATGTTTTAACATAGGGGAGTTGCTCCAGGCCCTTGATTATTCTCGTTATAGAGCAAACAAATGGTTACAACACCCACCCTCAGCTCTTACTGCATAGTTTCCTACTTAGAGCATTAATGTTCAGGGCCATTAGGTTAACAGCAGGGGAGAAGCAGATAGCCAGCCACTGAGTGGGACACATTAAAAAAACTGCTGCCCCGCAAGCTGGCCCTAAGGCTTGCCTGCTTTTTGCATCCATAATCCATACTACATGTAATTTATTACCACTAACTGCCCCCAGGCCGTATGTGAATACTACTGCCTTTAAAAAGTCTGTCCTTCTGCAACAATTAAAAAGCATAAAGTTAACAACGTAGTGTTCCACACCAAAAGATTTCCCAATAGTCTCATTTGTACCAAATGTTGGATACAGGTTGAAAGCGGAGCTATACAACAACTGTTCTTAATCTGCTTTTTCTGGCAAAGAGAGATCAGTATGCTGGACCCTTTTAGTGTGAAAGTCTCTCTCAGAACAAGAGCGCTGCAGCTGCATCTATATAATGCAAAATTGACATTCAAAACTCCACTTCAAAGCACCATGAAATCAGCCCTGCACATAAGCCAAAGAAGAAGAAAACCTCAACATTTAAGTACCTTTTATGAGTTCAAACAAAAGTCCTGTAACATGCATATGCTATACAGATGTAGCAGAGGCAGCTGGAGCAAAATTAATACAGGATTATGATTATGACATGGATACATCCATTTAAAAAGTTAATTGATTGCTTAAAGCTGATTGTGCATTTGGCAAAGTCTAGAATAGGCCGTTACTATGCAATACAGGACCTTAGAATCTCTCTTGTTCCTGGTGACATTGATATTTATTATAGTCAGAACTGGAGAATTTTTTTAATCTCCTAACCCTTCAGCACCAGGCTGAATATTTCAGATTTCTAAGAACACCAATACTTCTTTTTCCAGTCCTGCGCACATCTGTTTTGACTTACCAAAAATTAGCACCAAATGCCAAAGAGGCCTTTGCCACCTTAGAGCCCTTCCAGCGTTCCAAACTACTGCATGCATTGAGAGCACCAAGCCTCCAGAAGCTCATGCCCTAATAAATCCATTAGTCTCTAAAGCTGCCAGAGGACTCTTTAATTAAGGCTGAGATAATGGACAGCCTGCAGCAAGTTCTCAAGTTGGGTGAAGCCAGGATTTTCAAACCAGCCCTCCCACATTACAATTCCCTGATGATTCAGAGCAAATTTCCATAAGCTATGTTGCTCGTCTCCTTTGAGGACAGGAAGTTACGGCCCTTTCCCTCCCTCTACTGGGGAAAAATGAACATGCAGCTTCCTAGACATGAATCGTTCAAATGGTCTGAGATAAGCAGGGGATACCAGCCCTCCAGCTCCCATCAGGCCCAGTCAGCATGCTCGCTGGTCATGAAATAATGAGAGCTGGAGTGCAGTAATGGGAAGACCACAGGTTCCCCATCTCTGGTCCAAATGACTATATAATGCAGACACACCACTGTCATCTGTTACTGCCATGTCATCACTCTAACAGGAAACAGAGAGGTGCAGGAGGTCTCCTCCCCTTGAAATCTTTCTCTTCCCGCTGCTCATTACAAGAACTCCAACAAGTGTTTTTCTTCTAGAAAAATAGGTGCTGGTACTCACCATGAGTGTGGGTGGCACTGTGGGTTAAACCACAGAGCCTAGGACTTGCCAATCAGAAGGTCGGCGGTTCGAATCCCCGCGACGGGGTGAGCTTCCGTTGCTCGGTCCCTGCTCCTGCCAACCTAGCAGTTCGAAAGCACATCAAAGTGCAAGTAGATAAATAGGTACCACTCTGGTGGAAAGGTAAACGGCGTTTCCATGCGCTGCTCTGGTTCGCCAGAAGCGGCTTAGTCATGCTGGCCACATGACCCGGAAGCTGTACGCCGGCTCCCTCGGCCAATAAAGCGAGATGAACGCCGCAACCCCAGAGTTGGTCACGACTGGACCTAATGGTCAGGGATCCCTTTACCTTTATTCACCATGAAGCTGCTACAGTAAGTGCCACAATTTTTAACAACAACAAAAGAGGTGCTGGTACTGCATACCATTGAGTACCCCCTGGGGGGGGGAAAGCAGTCCGTAACTAAGAAATCATGCCCAAGTTATCTGTTTTCTCCTCCCTCCCAATCACTTTCCCTTCTTTGTCATGTCTTTTGGATTATGTAAAAGCAGGGATAGTCGCCATCAACACTTCTAACCCACTCTGGGAGACATAACTGCTCCCCTACAGCAAGCTATTAGTTTGTGACTTAGTGACACGAGATGCAGCAGGCAGAAGGAACAAACCCATAGCAGAAACATGTTGCATTTAAAAAAGTATTTGGTGCTAGGAATTATGATTACAACCTCCTCTCTGCTTCATGTTTCTAGAGATTTCTATGATGATCTCTTGCACGGTGCTACCAGAGCTATCCTTGGACTGCACAGCAAGACGCCAGCAGGTTACAAAATATGCATCTAAACAAAGGACTCTGACCACAGGTAGTCCTATCAGCAGAACTCTGTCAAGAAATAAAATTTAATATCATAAGGTAGATGGTTCATCAACACTAACCCTCAGAAGAGCAATAGTTTCTGATAATTTAATGTGCAGTTTATTCAGATAACATCTGTATCTCTTAAGTGTCAGTGATAAGGCTTCCAGGGGACCTAAGATATATCCGCTATCTGCCTTTCAGCACTGAAATTCCACCCAAAAGAGAAATAAATGCACAAGCCAACAAATAAATGCATTTTATTACAATATTGCCAATTTCCACACAACATACCACACCACTTCATTCTGCATTTTGTCCACTGGATACCACAGACTAATACAAACCAGGTTTTAGAAGTGGCAGTGCAATAGTAAAGTGATAGAACTACATACAGAGAATCATTAAATATCTGTTTCTCCAAGAAACACAGTGTTGTTATGCCCATATTGTGCCGCAAAGCCAATCCCACCCACCATAAAATGTTTAGGCATAAAGCTTTAGCCATATACATTTTGCCCAAATTTTCCCTTGTGAGATGGGAAGTTACAATTTCATATGTAGTTGTGTTGAGGCAGCTCCCAAATCGCATGCCCAATATCAAAGCGCCCAATTTCCTTTATGATAAAAGGATGTGGCACTCTGTTTCTTGCATCGTGAGCTTTTGCCACAACAGAGGTAAGCTGCCCCAAGATGCTTGCTCTTAAAATACAGCTATACACTGTCTCACATGCAGAGCTCCATAGGTTGAGTGCTAAGTAACCAGAACAAAAGAAATTCAGTGCAGTTCTGACAAAGAATCGGGGTGGGGTGGGGATAAAAATTAGACCCACTACATCAAATCAGGTAAATTAAATTTTAAAAGGAAAAGACTGCAAATTAAGTAAACCTTCAACTGATGTACACACAAGTCTAATTTCATCTTTCCTTCAGGCTGCCCAATAGAAATATTTAGCATGATTTAACAACTGTACTCTCCTCTAAGTTAACAATAGAACAAGACACACTTAAACCACTAGAGAAAGGCTTGATCCATTCCAAAACACTAGCTCTCCCACCAGGAAGGGGAGGGGGGTATGGAAATGAACCAGCATGGGTTAAGACTACAAACTTTTCCTTATGTACTGCTTCTTCTTCAAGGAGCTCACACAGTGAGATGCTGGGTGCCAACCTATTTCCCCAACTTCATACCATATTAAAACCTGGATCTCTGCAGATATTCACCCAGGGACAAAGCCTCCATCTGACAGGGATTCCACAAAGGTTCCTCCATCCTGTGGTGGCATTGCAGGATCGGGCCCCAAGTGAGATAACTTCTTTGGGAAATGACTTGCAATGATTGTTTTGAATATAAAGTGAGCATACATGCACACGCGACACATACATAAGAAAAACAAAACTAAAAAGCCTATCCCTTTCATTATCATTAAGGCAAATTCATTTTCTGGCATTGCAAACTAACCAGAAAAGTCCATTCAAGGTGAGCAGCACAAGATGACCAGCTTCTAAATGATTTGCTGAACGATTGTCCCAAAAGTCACATGAGAAATCTGAAAATGGAATGGTCCAGGATTCAGATGCAAGGTTGGAAACTGAAGTAAAAGCCAGTAACCTCAAGGAAAACAGAGAAAGGTGATTCATAAGCAGCAGGAGAGTGGACACAAAAATCCCTCTAACTCAGTGGTTTCCAACCAGTGTGCCGTGGTATCCTGGAGTGCCTTGAATGATGGTCAGTGGTGCCGTGGGCAAAAGTGGCCTCTGTATCTGTTTCCTTCCCTCTGATGCCCGCTCACATCTCTGCCTCCCAAAGGTTTGTGTGGCTGTTTGTTGCAGCAGCCCTGGCTACAAGCTCCCCAGGCAAATGGTGCCTCTGGGGCTGGCCATGGCGTGCTGGTTGCCAGGAGCTGAGGTGGCCTTGGAGTAAGCAAGCAAATGGGCAAGTGAGCTCAGCTAGCCAGTCCACCAGCCCTTGCTGTTGCAAATAGGCAAACAAGTTGGAAGCCAGGCAGGCAGCCAGGCACTGTGCTGGCCTTTCTTGCACTTACTGTGTGCAAGGCCTGCCTGGGAGCTGAGTGCCCAGTGCTAAAGCAGAGTCTTTCCACCCTGCAGGCTGGTCTCACGTTCACCTTTGGCCAGTTTCCACTGAGCCACTAAGCCTGGGGGCACCCTCTTCCTGTGGGGCAGTGTGATGAGGCACCTCTCTTTGGGGCAGGGGGAGAGTTCAGAGACTAGGGGCAGCAGCAGCTGCTGCCCAGAGGACTCCCAAGGAGAGGAGGCTGAGGGAACACGCCACAAGGGAGGGCATTTGAAAAAAGGGTGAGAGGCTGCCAGCTCTGCAGGCAAAGGGTGACATAACTGGACTCCTGAGCCCTACAGGGGTGCCACAGAAAGAATGTAGTTGGCCTAGGGAGCTGTGGATTCAAAAAGGTTGAAAGCCTCTGTTCTAGCTCTTAGGATGAAATGAAGATGGTTCATAAGCAATATACTTCACCCTGTTACAACATCACCAGCAACCACTATTTCATCATCATCCTTGATCCAGACAGTTCATGATCCTTGTTTCTACTGTACAATTTTCAACAAGGAAGCAGAATGTAGTTCTGTTACAAACCGATTCATCTGTATTGCCAGAGCAAACAAAACTGGCATCAAATGCAGTTTCTGAAAACCAAGATATCAGAACACCAGAATCTCTGAAGTGTTGTTCAAGTCAATTTCCTAATTAACGCTTTTCAGGAGTTTGGAGTTTTCCAGGTTTTTATGGGTCTGCATAGTGTTACAACTGTAGAACACATTTACACATAAAGTCAAGAGTTTTTAAACAGAATGTATACAAGACTTAAAGGATTCTCTAGATAACTGTGATAATTGTAAGTGTACCAACTTTTGAGGACAAATCCCAGTCATTTGAAATATACAGACGAAAGGTTCTCCAACATCTTTGGCAGTAATAAGATGCTTAAAATGAAGTCCCCACATCTCTGTTACTATGAAAACACTGGGGGACGTGTTCTAAGCCAGAGCAACCTGTTGCCTTCCAAATGTTGGACCCAAACACCCATTGGCGTCAGCAGAATGGACAATGATCAGGAATGATGAGAGTTGTAGTCAAACATCTGGAAAGGCACAGGTTCCTCACCCCTGTACTAAACAACTGGTGAGGCCATATTTGCGAACTTAGTGCTACATGCATAAGCTAGAATGAGCCCTGGCAATGCCGTGGATCTTCCCTTGTGGCCAAAAGGACATTCCTTGCATCTCAACTGGTCCTGTTTTCCAAAGCACTGGTTTATCACAAACTCTGGTGAATTTCAAGATAAGCCAGATTCAAGGTATGCATTATGAAGGTGGGTTGTTTATCCAGGATTTGAGAGAAATCAGGATCCCTGGTCCAGATGAGAAGAAAGGCTGAGATTCAGGGAAAGTGAAGCTAAACATTGCCCAAGACAAAGAAGAGACGAAGGAAAAGAAGGCCAAGGATGCACTGAACTTGATTCAGCTCATGCATGTAATGCCAAACCATGGTTTGCTACCAGGTATGAACAAGTTCTATAAATAAAAAAAGCTTTTGAGTATCTACACATACTGCTTTTAAAAAAAATCAAAATGTCTTTGCACAAAGGTTGTAAAGTATTGTGGCATTTCACAAAGTCTTCGATTTTACATGCAATCCACCACATTGCTGGATCCTTGACCCATGTCACGGATCTGGCTGCCAAGGCAGGCACACACGGCTACACCAGCCCCAGCTCTGCAGTGAGACACGGAACCAACAAGCTCCCACCTGAGAAAGAATGAAAGAGGAAAAATTAAATACAAGGGGAGTTAGCAATGCAACTGTCCTTGGCACATCAAATATCTTAAAGTGAAAAAAGCTTAGCTACATCTTTCCTACACAGCTTAGCGTGACAAAAGCTCTTATACAGTGCTAATTTTGAAAATTGCTTCTATTTTATTTTTGTAACTATTTATGGGTTCTACCACCACCCATGAAGGAAACTTTGCTGAAGAACTAAATGCTGGTCCATTTGCATTTAAATAGCAAGACTAGGCAGAGGAGAGGGTTTAGCTTCCCATGCGCAAAGACAGCAATAGTTCAAGGCCAAATATAATTTTAAAACAATATTTTTATAATTGCTTATATCTGTCTAAGAACAATGAATGAGTTCTGGGGTACTTTTTCCCTACCATCTCTACTTTGTCAAAATTCCTGCTTTTCGGCTTCCTAGACTCATCCATTACAACAGGTCTGTCCAAAAAACCACAACCCTTTTCACTTGTACATTTGCCAATCCCCTAGAATGAATACCAAGTCTAATAACTGCTTGGTGGCAGCTGCAATAGAGAAAGTGAGACTTTAACATCAACTACACAGATTTTTCCTACTTTTCATAGAATTGCAGCATTGGAAGGGACATCTAGTCCCACCCACTGCCATCCAGGAATCTCAACTAAAGCATCCATGACAGATGGCCATCCAAACTTTGCTTTAAAATCTCCAAGGAAGAAGAGTCCACCACCTCTTGTGGGATTTTCACCCCCTGCTGAACAGCTCTTACTGTCAGAAAGTTTGTCCTGATGTTGGGTTGGAATCTCCTTTCTTGTACAGTGGTACCTCAGGTTAAGTACTTAATTCATTCCGGAGGTCCGTTATTAACCTGAAACTGTTCTTAACCTGAGGTACCACTTTAGCTAATGGGGCCTCCTGCTGCTGCCGCTGCGCAATTTCTGTTCTCATCCTGAAGCAAAGTTCTTAACCCGAGGTACTATTTCTGGGTTAGCAGAGTCTGTAACCTGAAGCGTATGTAACCTGAGGTACCACTGTAACTTGAATCCATTGGTTCACGTCTCATCGAGCATAAAGACCTAGCTCTGTAAAAGCAAGAATCAAAGTTACCTGTTCACCACAGGATCAAAGGCTTCCACTGTATTCAGGTAAGCATTTCCATTATGCCCTCCAACAGCAAAGATTTTGCCCATTAACGTTGCTATGCCAACTCCACCCCGAGGCGTCGTAAGCTCCGCTACGTATTCCCACTTGTTGCTGCGAGGGTCAAATCGTTCAACAGAGCTCAGCGGAGAATTGTCATCAAAGCCACCTGTAATCAAGGCATATACACACAAGTGAAGCATGAAGTCTTCTCTCAGACTATGCAGTAGTTTTACCACAGTAGTTTTTTTGTTCTGTGGAGCAAAGCTACAGGATGCATAGTGACCCAGTTATTCAAACAGTACCAAAAAATACAATGGATCTGCTATTTGACCTAAAAGCCCACAATTCTTATAAAGCTAAAACCTAGTCCATTGTTAGCATGATCTGTAAGCAAGTGTACCTCAATGTTAGTAAGAAGAGGAGCCCGAGGTTTATGCCCAGTAGTGCACTGTTGCCTTGAAAAAAGATAGCTTATTTATCACTTTATCGCAAAATACAGTATTGTCCACAGCCAGCAACGAAAATACTTAAAATCCAGTGTAATCATTTGATGATGTTGTTTCAAACACTTACAGCAAAGCTACAAGAAGATGAGTTATGCACATGGATAAACGTCTAGGTACTACTCACCTACCACATATAGGCAGCCATGGAGTTCACTAACCCCATTGCCAGCTCTTCGCTGACCCATTTCTTTCACTTCTATCCATTTATCTAGATGAGGATCATACTTCTCCACGCTGGAGAGAGAAGCGACACCATCATTTCCACCAACAGCATATACATGGTTCTGAAAAGAGGAAAGATCAAATGAATGTTCTATCCAACAGCCAGGCCCAAGGGTGAATTAGGTGCGTTACTGCAGCAAAAATTAAGATGTGTCCCTTCTGCTCTCACAATGTATAAAGAAACAGTTGTCAACCAGCTTGAAAGGCAGCAGCAGTCTATCCCCAAGGATAAAATTTTGAGCGCCATATAATCATTGCCAACACAACAGCGAGCTTTCGATCCAATTTACTAGGTGAGTTTTCAGGTTTCAACATTATCGTCTGTGGATATTACCGTATTTTTCGCTCTATAACACGCAGATTTTTTCTCCTAAAAAGGAAGGGGAAATGTCTGTGCGTGTTATGCAGCGAATGTGTGGTCCCTGGAGCCGAAAAATGAGGCAAAAATCAAACCGCGCTTCAGGGAGAAGGGAGCTCCGTGAGAGAGGAAGTGGTGGCTTTCCTGCATTCTGCCTCAGGGTCTTACTACCCTCCCTGCTCTGTTTCGTTGCTGTGTTTGCTCAAACGGAACAAAGAGCAGGGAAAGCCCCTCCCCTCCAGGCAAGAAGAGAGGAGAGCAGAGCGTCCCTCTAATTCCTCTCCCTGCTCCGGAGGGAACAATGTTTGTGAAGGGAAGAGAGATTACAGGTTCGGCTTAAAATTCTGATTTGACTTCCTGCTTTTTGTTTTTGGAGACACACAGCATTCAAATATGCTTTCTTCCATTTAAAAGGATGAAATCCTTAAACAGTGTTTTGCCTGTAAATTCATGCGATCTGGAAGATTACAGTGTCTGTACCTCTTAAGGGATGGCAAAGCTTAGGTTTCGCTGCTAAATAGTTCTTAATGCAGTTAAAATGCTTTCTTCTGTCATGCTGGTGGGAGGGAGAGGGAGAGGGAGAGGGAGAGAGAGAGAGAGAGAGAGAGAGAGAGCACGCTGGCTGGCTTGTGTGGGTGGGTGGGGGGAAACTTTTGCCTTCCTTTCCTCACGTTATAGCCCTCTCCTGCATTCTTAGCCTTCTGTGTTTTTCCTTCCCTCCCCACTTAAAATGTGGTTACAAAGCATGGATCCACATGGATCCTCAGGATCTTTGCATTGGGTCACCCCAAATTCACCATCAGAGCACACAGCATGTCCATGGCTACAGCCTGCCCCCCCCCAAATCACACACCCATTGTTGCCTGGGGCTGCAATGGTGCAAAAACGTGGTTACAAAGCATGGATCCACATGGATCCTCAGGATCTTTGCATTGGGTCACCCCAAATTCACCATCAGAGCACACAGCATGTCCATGGCTACAGCCTGCCCCCCCAAAATCACACACCCACTGTTGCCTGGGGCTGCAATGGTGCAAAAACGTGGTTACAAAGCATGGATCCACATGGATCCTCAGGATCTTTGCATTGGGTCAGCCAAAATTCACCATCAGAGCACATAGCATGTCCATGGCTACAGCCTGTCCCCCCCCAAAAAAATCACGCACCCACTGTTGCCTGGGGCTGCAATGGTGCAAAAACGTGGTTAAAAAGTATGGGTCCACATGGATCCTCAGGATCTTTGCATTGGGTCAGCCAAAATTCACCATCAGAGCACATAGCATGTCCATGGCTACAGCCTGTCCCCCCCAAAAAAATCACGCACCCACTGTTGCCTGGGGCTGCAATGGTGCAAAAACGTGGTTACAAAGCATGGATCCACAGGGATTCTCAGGATTTTTGCATTGGGTCACCCCAAATTCACCATCAGATCACATGTCTGTGGCCACAGCATGAAGCACAAAAATGATACGTCCACTGTTTCATTCAGAATATTTTTTCCCTTGTTTTCCTCCTCTAAAAACGATGTGCGTGTTATGGTCAGGTGCGTGTTATAGAGCGAAAAATACGGTACTTATTTTATACTTGCCAAAGTTATACTGTACTTATATGAATCCACATTCATTATTTAAGTCTATTTAGTAAATATAGTCTTTTTATCAATTACCCCTCCAAAAAACCCGAAAAATCCTCTGGGCAACATGCAAAAACAATAAAATGAATTAAAACAGCAAGATCCACATTAACAACATTCTATATAACAAGACTTAGCACACAAAAAACCTGCAATCAGGTAAATACTGCAATGAACAACACTTAATAACAAGAATTTGGTTGTAAGTTGCTTTGGGTTGGCTTCGGCAAGATAAGCAACTAAAAAATCTAATAATAATATATATATATAAAACGTGACAAAGTTCCACAGAGTTAAATAACTATTTTAAGACACAGAATAATAACAGAAATTAAAAATAGTTTATTGTTTTTTATGACACCAAGCAAAGACTTTCCACTTTCACCAAAGAGTTCTATTTCAACTCTGCAATGTCTTCAGTTCTGTTTTTAATTAAATTATATTCCTTCCGTATTTCATTTCCCACCTTTTATTCAATCTCTTATTTCATTGCCTCTTATCACGACTTCAAGAGTGACACCTTAAACCAATGTAGTGAAGAACAGTCAAGAAAGTTTGATATGGAACTGGCGGAAATGACTGGCAGAATCTGAGACCAGGGAGAAGAGTTGGTGGAAGAAGATTGGAAAAAGTTTAAAGACTATCTGCAGAAATATTGTAAAATTAATGAATGTTAGAAGAATGTTGGAATGAAGTTATATGGCTTTAGTAGAAAGGTTATAAGGAATTAAGTATAAATAGATTAATAGAACATTAAAGGAAAAAATAAGGTTAGTTTGTGTTAAGATAATTATAGGATAGAAAACAGGGGAAGATGGAAAGGAATTGCTGAAATAATTAATAGAAGTGGAATACAAAAAGGGAGGTGTGAGGAGGTCGTTGAAATATGTGAAAGAAAGATAAGATATTGATTTTTTTTCTTTTTTTGATGTGTTTTTAAATTGTTTTTGTTTTGTCTTGTTAGTTTAATGTTTTAGTGTTATGTAGTGTTTTTGTATTGTAATGTATTGTTTTTTCTTTGTTTTTTTTTGGTAGTGTTTAAATTGACCCAGAGTCGCTTACCACAAGAGCCACAGAGCCAACACCTCCCCGGGGTGTATTCATAGGTGCTACAGCACTCCACTGATCAGATTCAATGTCGTATCTCTCCACATCGCTGAAGCAAGTGTTATCATCCAGTCCCCCAATAGCATAAATGGGGCCTCCAAGAGAAGCCAGAGCAATCCCTCTCCTAATAAAATAACGCAATTAGTTATCAGACTACATAATCTTAAAACAAACTGACAAAGTGAGTTACAAACTGGCAAAGTGAGTTACTAGGTATCATTAGCTCTACCTCACTTTGGCAACTTTTCAAGAATACCAAGGTTAATAAAACCCCAAGTGTAAACCACAAATGGAAGCTTCATTCCCAACTGAAGTATACTTAATCAAAGAGACCTTTAAAATGTTTCTTCAAGATATTGCAAATGAAAGAATTAACAGATTTTGGACTCTAGAACATTTGCAGGTTTGTAATTCTGTCAACTTTCTTTATTTTTTTCCAACCACACTAATCACCAGATAATAATATTCAACGGCAACATGAAGGTTTAACAGATCAGTGAACTGCAAGTTTTGACCATGACATAAATTCTTTCTTGTTTTATGCTGGCAAGGGCCAATTTTCTATATACAAAAACCCCATTCATGCATTCAATCAACACATGAGGAATGAAGTGTGGCACATGCAGTACCACCAGCAGCTCCTCTGCCCTTTTCAGCTCTAGCTCTGATTTCTCACTTCAAGTAGAAAGGTCTGAATGAGTATTGTGTGCATGTTGGAAGGTCCAATCCACTCAATGTTGGAAGATCAGGGGTGGAGATGGCATAGATGTCCTCATGCCTCCTCCAGACTTTGTTCCCCCATGTTTCTTTAAGGGCCTAAAGAATTTCCCTTCTGATACCCAACGAACACAGTCCATTTTGTCATTATCAGTCTATTCCAAACTCTTAAAAGAATATAAAGAATCCTCTTATATTGGGGATTTCCAACAGCTTCAAAAAACACTATTTACAATTACCTCAGCTAAAATAATTATGAGACAACTCTGACTCTTTTTCTAATTTGTCTTGTTCCTTCCCCACTTCTGTTTTTCACCTTATGTGTTCATCTCATATTTTTTATGTCCGCTGATCACCTTCTGTGTTGCATCTTACTTTGGACTGCAGCCATTGGCAATGACTAGGTACAGCCTATCTGATGTATACCCCAACAAATGGTAATGCATTCCACATGAATCTACTTCTTTAACAACAACAACAACAAAACGGAATGTCCATGCCAAGTTTACATACCTTTTGGTATTCATTGATGCTTTCATCATCCATTTATTTGTGAGAGGATCAAACATTTCCATGCTGCCCAGATGTTCGTTTCCATCATGTCCACCCACTGCATAAACTTTACCTGAAAACATATAAAATTTTCTGGTCAGACAAACTAGGCTAACTCCTAAAAGTATTTCCTGTGGCCATCTAGTATGATATCAAGAAGACAAGATGTGAAACAGCTGCTTCCCAGGTCTTAGTTCACACATAATCACTGTGCTGCCCTAGTGAAATTAGATTCACATTTTTTGCCACTCTATTATATATATTCCATTACTGCTAGAGCGTAATGTCTACAATAATTTTTTTCTGTAAAGAAATCAGCACCACATTATCTAAAGATCAGGGGAAAATAATAGTCTCAGCGACTTGATGATACTTTATAGGACTAGGATACAAAGGCAGCCTTAAAAGGCAGCAGTTTTAAATCTTTTCTAAGTTAAGATGCAGTGCTATTTACTAGTGCAGTAAATAGTTCCTAGTGTTGAATTCAGTGGTAGGTACTGTGGCTAGACTCAAGCTGTGAGTTGTATTTTTAGTACTAGAGAGGACATTTCATTGGGCAGAAACCCAGAACACAAAACCAGTTAACTGCAAAACAGAAACAATTGCATCTTTTTATCGCAAGAAGCCAACTACTATTCTCAGCTATTTTGTATACAAAGGCTGTAATTTTGGTTGATGGAATGGCTGAGTCATTAACTTCAACAAAGTATAAAGCAATTTTAGAGCACAGATTTCTTTTTACCAACCTCCCACAGAGATTACACCCACATGCCTCCTCCTACTGTTCATTTCAGGGCCAAAAAACCAGCTGTTCTTATTTATAGAGTAGCATTCAATGCTGCGAAATGGGTCGCCAGATCCACCACGACCACCAACACAGAAAAAGGACACCTAACAGAAAACATACAACAAAAGTCACAAACACCTCATTTCTTAAGAACGTCAGTATTCATCACACAAAATTCACAGGGTGGCAAAGTACAGAATGCTGCACATAGCACACATTAAAAGTCCTGTTAAAACTAAATAGTAGAAACTGGTCTGTTTGGTTGGCTTAGTGTTATTTACTGTTTTGAATGTTCAACACTGACAATTTGTCATTCAACAGTAACAGTTCCACCCTGCTTCAACTTAGGATGAACTGGGTTGAGACTTCAACACAGACTGAGAGGGAAGTCAGAGCTGGAATAGACAAGTCACCCAATCAAGGCTTGTGGAAAGATCCGCAAAAGTTAATAACCCCTTAAAATGTTCACATGCATTTTTGACAGCCCAACATAAAGAGGACCAGCTTGCTTCAACTTGCAGGAGGCTATCTGCCTAAGGCAATTCTAACTCACCATGGACTTCCAGGCAAGTGGCTCCTTAACAAGCCTGATTTTAGTCCATTCACAATCCCAACATCCCTCTCCACTTTAAAGAGATACGTGTTTTTGGCCAACACCACCACAGGTAACGTTTAGCACACTGCTTCAAGATTCCTATAGAGCACATCACTTCAGATGACTCAAGTAAGCAACAAAAACTGGGCAAAACCCAGCTCCTTTAACCATGGGAGTTTTTGTTATCAATTGCAATGGAGGCAGATTGTATGTTATGTTGAAAACATACATATCTGAAGAAGTGTGCATGCACACCAAAGCTCATACCAGTAACAAACTTAGTTGTTCTCTAAGATGCTACTGGAAGGATTTTTTTTAATGTTGAAAACTCTTCTCCATCATTCAAATGCATTAATGTATCCAAGGATTGTACATTGGGACTGTTAGGCTGTAATATATACTGTTCAATACAAGAAATTTACCTCATCAGTTGAGACAGTATTCCATAGTTTAGCATTCAAATCAGAGATTCATGCCGAGGCAATGCTATACCATTGTGAACCAACCTTTTGTGTAGATACAGATTCTCCCTCCCCTCACACAAAATGAATTTTAAAAGCTATACTCTAAGGCACTTAAATAAAATGACAAGGCTTACTAATGTTACGCTGTGTACAAATTCATTTATGTTGTCTTTTACTATTCTACCATGAGCACTTACACCTCTACAGAATAGACCTTTTGTGAGTTTCTAAAACACTGGTGCCTCAGAAACGAGTTACCTGCTGTGCGTTTCCTTGGTGTTGTCCGTACAGAATACTCAAAATCTGGCACGGTATGACTACTTAAGTGAAGGTGGTAGTTCCTTGCTTCATCCAGCAAGTCCCGACATTTTAGGTTCTGCTTGACAATTTCTTCTTTTGCCACTACTCCCATGAGAAAACAAATGGGTAACAGTGGTAGGCGCACCTAGGAGAATGGACATTATGGGTGGTCAGCTGAACCAAAAGTAACAGTTCTCAGCAATTACAAGGCAAGCCTCCAAAGACATCATGGAGAACATCATGATCCTAGAATCATAGAGTTGGAATAGACCACAAGGGCCATCGAGTCCAACCCCCTGCCAAGCAGGAAACACCATCAGAGCACTCCTGACATATGGTTGTCAAGCCTCTGCTTAAAGACCTCCAAAGAAGGAGACTCCACCACACTCCTTGGCAGCAAATTCCACTGTCGAACAGCTCTCACTGTCAGGAAGTTCTTCCTAATGTTTAGGTGGAATCTTCTTTCTTGTAGTTTGGATCCATTGCTCCGTGTCCGCTTCTCTGGAGCAGCAGAAAACAACCTTTCTCCCTCTTCTATATGACATCCTTTTATATATTTGAACATGGCTATCATATCACCCCTTAACCTCCTCTTCTGCAGGCTAAACATGCCCAGCTCCCTTAGCCGTTCCTCATAAGGCATCGTTTCCAGGCCTTTGACCATTTTGGTTGCCCTCCTCTGGACACGTTCCAGTTTGTCAGTGTCCTTCTTGAACTGTGGTGCCCAGAACTGGACACAGTACTCCAGGTGAGGTCTGACCAGAGCAGAATACAGTAGCACTATTACTTCCCTTGATCTAGATGCTATACTCCTATTGATGCAGCCCAGAATTGCATTGGCTTTTTTAGCTGCCGCATCACACTGTTGGCTCATGTCAAGTTTGTGGTCAACCAAGACTCCTAGATCCTTTTCACATGTACTGCTCTCAAGCCAGGTGTCCCCCATCTTGTATTTGTGCCTCTCATTTTTTTTGCCCAAGTGCAATACTTTACATTTCTCCCTGTTAAAGTTCATGTTGTTTGTTTTGGCCCAGTTCTCTAATCTGTCAAGGTCGTTTTGAAGTGTGATCCTGTCCTCTGGGGTGTTAGCCACCCCTCCCAGTTTGGTGTCATCTGCAAATTTGATCAGGATTTGATCCTCTATTTGCCTTGTTCAGTGTGGTCATTCTGCATCTGTATGGCCTACAACTGAAGCCAGTATGTATGTCCTATGTCTTCACTAGGGAGAGAGAGATCCAGAAGATGAAAAAACAAGATTCCATTTAGTTGTAACAACAGTGACATTCCTCCATGTGTTATAGCTGCTGTGAACCCTGACACATCCTACTTACACACACATTGTGATTACTTGCTGCCTGCACTTTTGAACTATGACTGACATGCATAAAATATTTAATCTCTCCACAAATCAACGCTGCTCATGGATTCAGCTGCAACTCATCAGATAATGTGTGGTGACAAGATGCAGATGTGTGTGACCTGGCTCTGAGATGGAAAGTAACCGAATTTGCTTTTGAGAAACCCGTAGTTTTCAGGGATTTAACAGAAGTGACCCCAACTTCAATTTGTCACAAAGAATGCGTAAGAGAAAAATTGTCTTAAGTGTCAATCTTTTTTGAGAACAAAAAAGTGATCCAGTTCCAATGTGGTGAACCAGTATAATCACTCCACAGATCACCCCACCTCTGCATATTATGAGACACCAATAGATTAAGTTACTCCATTCTCATCTGGTCCTTACCTGAGCAACTATTTCATCTAACCATGTAGCATGATGCTGTGGATTGGCCAGAAGCCACTTAATAGCAGCACCATAAACCTGCTTTTCACTTTCAATGCTCAGGTCACTGGAAGACAACAGTTTATGAAGGTGCTGAGGTGACACACTCACAAAATCTTCACATTCCACCACTTCAGCAAAATGTTCACATGCATAGCGATCGGCCATATCCATCAAGTCAATACGATTGTGGCTCTCCGCAAAGGATCTCACTGCCAGGCAATTTGAAGGATGGAAGTGTAGTTTCATGTATTCACAGCAAGCTTTGGCCACTACCTCTACCTGAAGAATGCAGGCCGCATATAAGAGAGGCTGGACATTGTCTACCGTCAGAGTCAGTCGAGATGAATAGACGAATTTGACCAAATCTTCTATGGCATCACCATCAAAGTCTTTGATCTCGATCAATGTCTGTTTAGCTTCCGCCATTTCAGAAAGGAACATGGCTCGGAAGTATGGAATAACACAAGCCAGGACTAGCTTGTGACAGGAGATCAACTTCGAACCTACCTGTGGGATAACATACATTTATATTAATAGAGTTAATTGTTTTACCTTAATACAAAGAAGCTGTGGTCTCGATTCTAAAGATGTAGTTAACGGATTTTAAAAATTATTAGCATTAATCAAATCCAAGAAGTGCAAAGAGGTATTGACCTCAGAACTATCAAAGAAAATTGAATAAACAGAAAATTGACTAACAACACTACTCAGATCAATGACAATTTTCTGTAATAGATTAGTATACATGTGTGGTACTGTTGTAAGAGTCATAACATTTTATTGAAAAGTCTCCATCAAAGTTATTTATATAAATTTGAAAAGATAAATTATATTGATCACAGCATCACAACCTTATTTGTATTGATGAATATTTCAAACAATGAATATGCAGTTCATATTCAGTTTGTAAAACCTACTTTTGTTGCTTTAACTGCAAGAGAAAATCATTTTTCATTAGTCCCACTTTCAACTACCTTAATGATAAAGTTCCATCCCTGAATTATTTCTAGTAGTTTTATGCCAGTCATCTCAATTAGCTGTTCTTTTAATAATCCACAGCCACAGCAATCTAATGCAGCAAAACAGTTTCTTGCCAAGAAATGATGAAAAGCAATTAGCTGTACATGACTTTAGACAATGTGCTGCCATGAAAAAAGGACAGACATCATCTATGCCGGGTCAATTTTTGGCTGCATTACAAAGGCTAGTGGATCTGTGTGTACAATTTGACCATGGAAAAGGCAATGCAATCCACTTGGTTATCTACCACTAGATTAGTAACAAATGACCAATATTCATACACAAACACTAAAGCAGGAGGAAGGGCAGGATATAAATGGAATAAAATAAATGTGCTATTTCAGCACAGAAATGAAAAAATGGGTTTGCACTGGATAGTCAACCCGGCTAAAAATATTTGTGCCTTATATGATTTTAAAGATTAACTATCAATTGATAATAAGGAGATGAGTCTAATGAAAGTTTACATGTTATGATCCAGCAGTCTTTAGGTTCCTTATTAAAGAAGCTAGCTTCCCCCACCCAACTGTTTTTCTTAAATCTGCAGGATGTGTTTTCAGGTACAAAAATCCTCTTGATAACATTTTCTATTAATCAGCTTTTTCTCTTCTGCAAAGATTAGTTTCACTGTCAAAAAGCATCAATTTGAGTTGTATGAACAAGCATTCTGGCTTACAAACTCTTATTTAAACAAGTCAGATTCAACCCACAATTCAATGGTAGCTTACTTTGAAACTTACCAGAGTTTGTTGTAACCTAGATTTCTGGTTTATTTGTTTCAAATAATAAGTGACACCTATCACCACATGTGCCAAGAGGAGGGGGGAAGCGTGCAAGCTTGATAACAGCAGCAGTAGTTTTTAGTGTGAAAAGGATAAAAACCACAATATCTCTTTGCAAAACAAAGGAGAAGGCTTCTGACACAAAAGTCATACCTGATACGAGTTCAAACTTGCACTGAACTGAGCATGTATAGTGTTTTTTAAAGAACAGT